TATGTATCTGTGTATCTGCTTGTGCGTCAGAGTGTGTACCTGTGCATCTGAGCCGCAACTTTAAATACAAATACACCCCTCCATTCAAACTTCAACACTACATATAAAACACACTCCTGCATTGAAACGTCAACACTACATACAAGCACACTCCTACATTCAAAAACAAACACTACACATAAATGCACACTTGCATTCAAACTCCAGTACCACATACAAACACATTCACACAAACATACTCCATACAAACACATGCTTACATTCAAACATACTAACATGGCTCAGTGCTAAATACAACCCTGCAAGCATGGGAAATTGGTAGAGTCCCAGCTGTCAAAGCATTGTTGGAGTTGCACGACAGATGGGGTTCTACCTTTAGTCCAACCTTGCAATTGGGGGTCCCAATAAAATTCATTCTACTTTAGTACCGCCACTGCGTTGGGATGGATGCCGTGATTGCATACCAGGGAGTGAGGGGCGAGAGCGGCAGGGCACAGGGGGCCCAAGCAAACACTTGCCCAGGGTCCATTCGTTATTAAAGACGGCCCTGCCCTGGAGCCTGTTCCACCGAACAGCGCCTTTCTAAGTGTTGTTGAACCGAACACAGGCGATCATGGAAGTCCAGCAGTGTTTGGGAGTTTCAGTGTCCGAAAATAGTTCCATGAACTCGACAACCAAACACCGCTGCCTGGTTTCATGCGAACAAGATGGCCGCCACCTCGTGGTCGTCCATAGAAATTGCGACCACCCAGACGAACATTTAGAACACTGTGGTGGAAATTGCTACAAAGCTTTGAAAATACATAGTATACACTGTGAATTGACAGTGGTGTTATCATTTCACTATAAAAAGCAGTGGAGATTATCGGAAGGGTAATTACATTTGACAAGATATTCTCATTGCCAAGTCCTTCGTGTTTGGCAGGTGGTTGTGGCTATTCAGAGTCTCCTACTCTAGATGGATGACTGTGAGGTCTTCATCTTAAAATACTGTCAGTTAGCTCAATATTTCCAATAAACCATACACAGAACATGCTAGTTCTAGATACTATTGGTGAAATAGGCATCTGGATATAGTACTTTGAAGTGTAACATAAAGCTCAGTGACTTCTAGAAGATAGTTCACACTAGTTATAATGTTAGGCCCAAAGTTAAAATCCCTTAATCAAAATAGGCTTGACATACCTCCTTTGTAGGAGGCTATTCCATTTTGTTTCCTTCAGGGCACACTAGGGAGAAGCTCGATCAAAGCTTTGTGAGATGTGTCTCAGGGTTCTGATGGTCAGTTCATTTAATTTAAGAGAGATGGGCCCTTCCTGGTTAACAAGGTAATAATAATTTACAACTATATGTAATGTGAAGATGATAAAAGTTTAGAGCAGACAGTGGAAAACCAAGTTGTGTAAGATGAGACAGGGAAAGATTTCCTGGATACAGAAATTCAGAAATTTGAAAATGACTGGAGACTAAAAGAAAGGTTGACAAGGCGAGAGAAAGGCCACTCTAGAAGTGTACTGCTGCTGTAGAGTAGCCATGTCATATTTTGGGTGGAACTGTCAACAAAGGACAAGTAAGGACTAGACCATACTTGGATAATAAGATGGGTTGTGTTTGCTAATTAGACAGTATATGGAGTTTATTGTACTATTTTTTAAATCTGTGTCCTGAACTGTCATTAAAGGAGCACTATAGGGTCAGGAACACAAATATGCATTGCTGACCCTATAGGGTTAAAACCACAATCTAGTCACCCTGTTCCCCTCATGCCTCCCTAAAAATGGCAAAAGCTTACTTGTTTTCAAGTCTGGAGCTGCAAGCTCAGGCTCTGTTTCCTTTAGACCTGCCCACTGCCTGCTGACATCAGCAGAAGTGGTAGCCTGATCCAATCACAATGCTTCCCCATAGGATTGGCTGAGACTGACAAAGAGGCAGATCAGGGGCAGAGCCAGCATGATTCAAACACAGCCCTGGCCAATCAGCATCTCCTCATAGAGATGAATTGAATAAATGAATCTCTATGAGGAAAGTTCAGTGTCTGCATGCAAAGGGAGGAGATACTGAACGTTTGGATGCATTTTAGGCAGCCATGACCCAGGAAGGAACTCTAACAGCCATCTGAGGAGTTGCCAGCAAAGTTATCACTAGGGTGTAATGTAAACACTGCATTTTCACTGAAAAGACAGTGTTTACAGCAAAAAGCCTCAAGGTAATGATTCTACTCACCAGAACAAATTCAAAAAGCTGTAGTTGTTATGATGACTATAGTGTCCCTTAAAACTTCTGTGCTAACAGTGTGGCCTCTATTGTCAGTGCCGATTCTCACAAGAGCTCCCACAGTGGCTAGCAACCAGGCTAAGATTGCAAGAATGCATGTGGGGTGACATCTGTATAGTCAAAAGCAGAAGCCCAGATCCGGACCACTCTATCAAGCTATACATTTGTCAGTGACTGAGTAGATCCTTGTATAAATCACATGCTACATATATGTATATAAAAATTACCTGGAGCGACCTTCCCATCTACAGATATGTACATGCAATATTCAGTGTCATATCATTGGTGTAGAATCATAAACATAATTTAAGGTTCCTAATATCGCAAGATAATAAACCTAAATTGCGTCTATAAAAGACAGATAAAAGGATTGGTCACAGAGTGCAGTTTGATATAAAAGTAACATTTCCTTGTTATATTAATTTGTTCTAGAATGTAGTCCTTCACTTTACATGTACACTCAAGGGCTATAAGTGGCCCTCACTCCCCTCTTCTTTTTAACAGATATACATATTATGTTTCTTTAAAAGGAATGAAAGAACCACAAGTTCAAAAGATAAGGGAGAAATACTCACCATTAATTATAACTGCAGTGTTTGCAAACACACATCGGTCTGTAGCAGATAGATCTCTCCCAGACCAGAAAGATGTTCTATCAATCAGGAACCTCACATTCTGCCATATGTATTGTTTCTTATCATATAGATCTTCATCTACCAAGGCTTATGGGATATACAGTAAATCCCCCAGCTGGAGTTCCACTCACATCATAAGTGAGTGGCCTCTGCTCGTGCTCTCTCCAGAGAGGGAGAGATGTGCACACTGCACGTACAATTTATTTGTATTTTGATGACAAAGAAGAAAGTAATATTACGACGAAAAGCCAAGAAGCATTCGAATAGTTGTGTGATTTCTGCAGATTTCTGTAGTTACAAGCCGTCATATGCTGTAATACAGGGACAGGGGACCTCTGTGGGTGGCCCATAAAAGTTGAAATGAGCAAGTTGTTATGGTGTTTGGAGTGACCAATATCAGTGCACCTGTCATCTCTTAGATTAAACGGTCATTTCCACAGGGATCTCTACCACTTGGGTCTGTCAACATTATTTTTCTCTGTAAATAATTTGTTCTTAGAGGAACACTATAGGGTCAGGAATACAAATATGTATTCCCGACCCTATTAAAACCAAACATTTAGGCCCCCTTAATAGATAATAAAATCTACTTAAATACTAGCGCCTTGCGGGTTCACCGTACCTGTAGCTGTTCTGGTGATTATAGAGTCCCTTTAAATAACCCCGTTGTACGTTTGTAAAGCTCTGCTAAAAATGTTGTAAATCCTAATAATAATAATTAACCATCTGTATGTTGTTCCAAAAAAGTGGCAACACATTCATAGATATAAAGTACTTACAATTTACTTCTTAACCGGTTTAGTCTTCACCAGCATGCTAGGATCAGGACACATCATATGAACATCATTCTTATAGAGGCTAAATCAATCATGTTATGTCTTACATTATCAGATACATTGATAGCCAGGCTCCCTTTTTTGTATTTGTTGATCAAAGTAAAGCATAGCTCAGTATTGATCCTTAAATTCACTATAACAAAGGAGTAAAATTCAAGGTTTTACTCATAACGGAGCTTTAGAATTATTCTGATTAATTACTGAAATTAATTTATTTACATATATAACTGAATAATGTATCAAGTATTAAACATTTTTGCTAGTTTACTGACCCTCAAAGAGACACTGTGAAACCTTGTTAAGGGAACGAAATGCTCTTTTAGAAAACTATAACAACAGCCAACTGATAGATTTGAAGTCGTTTTGGAATTATATTTTCTATGAAGCTTCATGGGCATCTTTTTACTAAGGCCTATTCTGGTCTACTGATTGATGAACCCGATCTTTCCATCTACTTGAACGGTATCTAAATTATTGCTCTGATAGAAGTAGAAGAAAAAAATAAATAAAATAAGATTCTTACGTTCTGCAGTTGTCTTTACTAACAGGAAACATATCACTGATGGAAGCAGCGCATTTTTCCAGGACATTCTGCTTCTGAAAATAAGGTCCAAAGGCGATCGGTAAGTTTCATGTTCCTGTGCTTTCTGTATTACCTTGCAGAAAGATAAGGGTTTTCTAACCAGATTTTTTCTGGTTACAGATAAATTATTGATTAACTTTAGCCAATTAAATTAATAGCAGGAATCTTTGCACTATAATCACCATCATTATGTTTATTGTTGCATAATGTTTGTTCTTGTCTTTACAGTCATTCAACACATAAAGGCATCCCTTTACTAAAGGTCAACATTGTAATTTGCCCTTAATCTCTGCCATATTTCATTTAATAGTTTAATATTTAATCCCGGAAATTATTATGTTTAAATTTGTTATGCATTTATTGTGCTCTCAATTCTTTTTCTAAACATTATTTGCAAATGAAAATTTTACCAAGGGGACAGTATTTTATTTAAAGACAATTTTAGGTGGCATGTAGTGTAGCTCTGATCAGTTTGTGTCATCCTTTATGATGTAGTTGGTTACACTGTGAAAGGTCCCAGCTACTGAAGGTGGGTAACACATGTGGTTACCTCAGACCCAGGATGTGTGATCGGAAGGTCAGCAAATATAAAGGAGTCAACATCTAAATACGAAGCATTAGTAAGTCAGCCACGGAATCAAGAGAATGTATCCAGGAGGAATGCAGCATTGTCACGACCGTAGCTGAGATCCCTGGTCTTCAAACTCAAAACCAGAAGCAAGAAGATGTTGCAATGTGTGTGTCCACCCTCAACAACCAGACGGAGAAAGTGTTCACAATAAGGAATGCTACAGCTCACGACTGTGATGATATCCTACGCCTCATCAAAGTAAGAACATGACATTGACTTTTAAATGCCCTTGAATTCTTTGTGTGACCTTTGTACAGCTTGAGTAACCTTATTGTACCATTGCTTTCCTGCTTGATAGGAACTTGCAGATTACGAACACAAGGAAAATGCAGTAAAACTAACTGAAAAAGGTAAAAAAAAAAAGAACAATAAAGCAAAGTAGAAACAGAATAGTTTGTCACTAGTTTAAAAGTATCTCATGGGTTGTGCGATATGGCAGATGGAGTGATTTCCACTCAGCTATCTCACCAACGTGCAAGAATATTTGCATTTTATATATGGTATTTCTGCTCAGAGACAAACACTTAGAATACATACTAGAATTTAACTAAAGATGTTACAGTTCCACCACTTCTCTAAATGACCACTGAAGTTTTACCTTTGAAATGTATCAAACCACATACTGCTGACATTAGAACAGATGGGTTACGGATTAGGGAAGTCAGACATTTTTCCGCAAAATGTTTAATCTGAGTGAATTTATTTTCTGAACACTGGCTGACATTACAAAAGTCAGTCACCATCTGATGACTTGTTTAGCCGGAGCAGAAAACCGATTGCATCTACTGCAAATGTAGCATTTGTGGTTGTTTACTTGCAATAATTTTACAATAAAAAGCCATACTGGTCCTGGACATCGGTCCTTGGGTAACAATATTTCATATTAACATAATACAGAACCATAGAGAAGCCATCTATTTACATATAGTTCTCCCACTGAGCATTATTCTGGTAGAAACTATTCCAGTGTGTCACCCATACACATGTGTATGGATATGTTCACATCCTAAAAGCCGATTTAAACCCGATCCATACTGTACTATTTACCTTTTTGTTAATTTTGTGGCCTTCTGATGCAATTTGGTCATTGTTTTCTCTAATTTTCTGACTAATATGAATTCTGCTATGTCCTAACGAGTTTTTGGCTATGATTTTACCTTTTGGTATGTGAAGGAGCCAAACATTAAGTAAGGTTGTCCAGGGCCTTCTTGGTGTTTGTTGACTGAGTGTTGTGTGTGAGAGGGTGTGTAGTGGCTGAGTTATTGTAAAGAGAATGCTGAGAGCTTTACGGGGTGGCTGATTGCTTCTGTGTGTGCGGGTTGAGTGTTATGCGTATGTTAGCCGAAGTCAGTGTGTGTTTAGGGTAGTCTTAGTGTTGTGTGCATGTGTTTTGCCGTCTCCCTTCTTGCTTTCCTTCCCTGGTGGTCCAGTGGTCGGTGAGACGGATCCCTGGTGGTTCAGTGGGGAAGCTCCATCATCCGTATCAATATCAGGTACCAACCATTTTAAGATTGCCCTTGTGGTTCCAACGCTTAGGCAATAACGCTTGCTGTGGTGCTCTAAGTCATCAACAAGTGCTGGAGGGACCACGAGGGCACTCTTAAAGGCCACAATGCTCCCTCAAGAAAGTGAGTGAGTGCAGGGCCGTAGATGTTTATCTTATAATCTCCCTGCTAGATTGAAGAGGGACCCCTCAGAGCCAACGCATCAGGCCCATGTCTGAGCCCGGCCACTGGGCAGCTGTCTTGGTTGTCCAATGGGTAATCCAGCTCTGTTGATAAGAACTGTCGATAAAGTGATGTTTGGAGCTTGAAATGTATTTAGCCTAGACCCCCATCTTCCCCCTACTTTACAAAATTGTGTTTTTAAACTACATTTATCAATAGAGGAGATTGTTTTAACCATGATATGCAATGCGAAAGATTAGATTTGGAAGAACATAACCTATGGTGCCATTGGGAAAGCAGTTGTCGAGTTAATGTGTGTGACTGTATCAATGAAATGTGGGCTTTTCCTCAAGCCCACCCATTGTATTCCCAGAATATGGTTCCCTATCTTTGCTCTTTCTTTTGGTCAGGTTCTGGACTTCATCTTGGGTATTGGTTTGTACAAAACCCTAACAAGATTTCCATGGTAAGAGCGAAATATTCTTGAAACTCTAATTATTGATTTACCTTATCTGACTCATAAATAAATATATAGGTTCTTATGTATTACATTATTATTTGAATAATTTCTACACATCAAATTGTCTCTTTCACCCATGAAATGTGTGTATGATTTTATTGTGTTGGTAAAAAAAGCAAAAATTAATGAAGCCAAAATGATTTTGCAGATGTATATTTATTTTGTGTTTGCATATGATATCAATGTGCACGTTCCTCTCATTTTATTGTTGACCTTTGAGCTCAGAAAGATTAAGCTAATTCAGAGTGAATTTTCAAAATTTAGGCTAATGTAGCCAAACTATAAAGCATAGGTGATAGAGAATTATTCTAAGTTGGCTACTTTGGCTTTGAATTTCACTTTGACTTCACAATGAATCATCATTTTAGTACATAACTCTGTTAATTTCACCAATGACAGTGAATATACATTGACAATTGACATTGAGTGGATGTATGACACCAGGGAACTACATTGGGATGGTGGGACAGGACTCCAAAAGCAAGACAGCTTGGAGAACTGGTTTATGCCAACATAATCTGTTTTAATGGATCTAATGGATCAACATGCAATGAGACATTCAATCAATAATCATAAGGCTGTACAGATCCACCAATTCTAAAAATCGAGGACATCCCACAGTAATTTAGAGTAACATTTAGTCCTTAATTGATGAAATGTAGCTAGGTTGGTAAATGTTTCCAATTCAACTACTTTAAGCTTCTTCTTGCAAGGTGTTGTTTTATTTACTACTGTTCAATCTTCTGTTAAAAATTGCATAAATGAATTAATGACTAAATTGTTACATATGAAGAAATGAGAAGGCCATTTTAAAGATTGGGCCAGGACAGTTGAGCTGGATAAATAGTGGAATTTGATAATTTTACAGTTCAGCTTCGTTCGAACTACAAGATGAAATTCCATATTTAATTCCTGATACTTCCCGCTGTGTTACTTTTGTGCTGAACGCTACGATTGCTAATGATAGAAAGGCGGCCCAAACCAAAATGTCTCTCTTCCAGATTTACTTGAAGATGGCTTTGGTGATCACCCTTATTACTACTGTCTAATTGCAGAAGTGCCAGGTAACCAAGATAATCAAGGTAAGTTGGACATTATACCGGCATGATATCTCTATCCATTGTATAGCCTGCTGTAATCACAGGACAGAAAATATCTAGAAAAATAACAGATAACAGGGAATAGTGACTCAATTTAGAATTGGGAAGATATTTACGAAACATATGCTCTTATCTCCTTACTGATTTAAAGGGGAGTTTCTTAGAAGTGACAAGAGAATGTAAGAGTAACACTTTTAATGTGAAGACTCAGCAGTAACAGAAGAAAGAACTCTGGATCTCTTAAGCCAGATTTGTATTCCTCTGTTGCAATGCATGAGCATGCGGGGTAGTGAACAGCTGAAGCTATGATGTCACTCAAAAAAAGCGCTAATAGGCAGAGAAGTGGAGATTGTGATTACTGGTCTAAAATGGCTACCACATTTTACTTTTTGAATGAAAAATAAAATCGAATGCATTGTTATTCCGCCTTTTAGCTCGATCCAACGTAGGCTTTGCAATGTATTACTACACGTATGATCCATGGGTGGGGAAAGTCCTTTATCTTGAGGATTTCTATGTGATGGAACCATATCGAGGTAAGATGAACACCAATATGTTTTCTACAACACTATCTATACTGTTAATGTTCCTGCTTAATTTGTGTTGGAAGACGACGCATTTCACACAATTTCTCTCTTTTGAATCCAGGACTGGGAATAGGATCAGAAATGCTGAAGAAATTATGCCAGGTAGATCATTGTTAGAATCTAATGCAAAGCTCTGAACATATACAGTTTAAGGACCCGAATGATTAAATTTTTGTAGCTAGATACATCATAACCTAAATGTTTTGCATGGGCACTATTTACCTTGGGTCTATGGAAATAGTTTATCATTGACAACGCACAAACAGTGCCATACGGCAAATTTGTCCAGGATCAATCACTAAACAGTGAATGGTCAGAGATTGATCGGGGAACTGAGCAGAATCAGCCCAGCTGGAAAAAAATCTCCAATTCCTTGTTCTTTGCAATTAATTAAAAGAAAGGTATGAAAGCGGGGGGTTGGAAGGGGAGGTAGGAAACTCACTGAGAGGTAGCTAAAATTGATTTACCTCAGTGCTATGTGCATGGATGTCTGACAAAGATGACAAACTCTTCTACAGTCATACAAAGAGTTCTGACAGACAGTGTTTGACCCCCAACGGAGACATACCAGATGCAGATCAAAAGAAGTAATTTAGTAGACCATACAGATGGGTTGTGTTAACAGTCAATGCAGCAGCTACTGTCTCCATAGACTACAATAGAAAATAGTAAAATCATAAGGCATTCTGTACCCAATCAATATCATTTTCTCTATTTCTTTTTAAAGAAATACCTCTTAGTACTGCCGTTTGAAAATCTTTTTCGGCATTAAAAGCTTAGTTTGTGTGAAAGACGGAGAGAGATTTTCTAATGGTATTTGTTAAAGTAGACAATTGAAATGTCTCTATGTAATATTTTTCTACACTGATAACTTGAATTCTTAGTCTTAAAGCAGGTGTATGTAATACTATATGTCTTGTCACCAGGAAGCAGTACAGCGCCACTGCACTTGTATGCATTTCCTCGTCATGTCGCAGAACAAGGCCTCAGTAGAATTTTACAGAAGAAGAGGTGCTACCGATCTCTCCAACGAGGAAGGCTGGCACCTGTTTACATTTACCGAAGACAATCTTAAACGCATGGCGGCAAACCAATGAACATGTTAAGGATTTCATCATCACGCATCCATAGGGTGGCTGACTTTTTCTAAATATACTTGCTAAGTAGCTCTGCTCCTTAAAAAAAAATGTTGCTTCTCTAGTAATATTTCAAGCAGTCTTGCCCTCCATGTTATACTTTATATGCAATTTCACAAACCAAGTGCTTCTCAACCTTTAGCTTCTCCAATGTTTTTACCCAATATCTAACAAGTACTCCCTTACCATCAGCTTTCCTGTTTTAACGTAGATTCTCAAAAGGTTTATGGATTGTCGATGATCGGACATAACAGATATCTACTAGAGTCCGTACCCTGAGTGTCCGTCACTGATTGCACATTGTTCAGATTAAGAATGATGAACTGCACCTGTTCATAAATGTTTCTGTAACAGGTGAGACGTTAACACTGCATGCATTTCATTGAAATTTTCTAGTTTGAACACTATGGATTCCAGCAACGGTCAACGCCTTCAAAAGAAGCTTTTTTCCAAACACATTACATATAGTTTATTTCCTTAAAGGCAAACTCCAGGCAGCATAACTACTACAGCTTATTAAAGTGATTAAGATGCAACAATGCTGTTCGTGAAAACTTATCTGTTAAATCCACAAAGACTTTTATTTCAGCTACTTTACCCGAAAAGCTGTAACGGTTATGGTTCTTGTAGTTTCCGTACAGTCATTGACAGTCTATTTGTTTCTATTCCAAATAGATGATCCACTTAATTAGTGGCAACAGAGTTTCACAGAGCTGCTGTTATTAAATTGTTAGGACAATCCACATTCTGTCAACGCAGGGACTTTAGATGATGGCGATGAAATTAATATGTAAAAATCTCTGCAAAAAAACATTAAACCTAGTTCACCCAAGTTTAACTTATTCTCCAGTCATAGCAACTTGGCTTTGCACCAAGATAAAAGAAAACATAATTAATAAACCTAGCCTGACAAACGTGTTCCCGTGAAACAGCTGATTAGCCAACATATATTGGATGTAATAAGCAGGCAAAGCGTCATCACATAGGCAAGTCACTGAACATATGATGAACACTCCTCCCATGATCCTTCACCACACAGTAGTACAGATGTAATTTCAATGTTATCGGATATTCTGGTGTTCTGAGAATTCTAAACATAAATGGCACCAGGTTCGACAGGAAACGATACAGGACGAAAGATGCAAGAAAATAATTCATATTTCAAGTGTCTAAATATGCTGTAAACCCCAATACTTTGTATCTTCTGCAGTGAGCTCTGCCCATACCAGATCTATGTAAGTTCCAAGCTCATCCCATAAATTCTCTGTAGAAGTGATGACATCTCATACTAGGAATCAAGGGACTAAAAAAGGGAAATACCGTAGGTTGGAAGACAGAAGCAGAAAGGATGTCTTAACGAAGCAAAACCATTAATATAAAAATAAAAATATAGGACGTTGCACTCTATTTTTCGTATCATGTTTCCATTAGAAACAAATTATGGGGTCTATCACAGTGGACTAAACATGGAACAGTTCTTCATTTCGAATTAATTGAATTTTTACTTAAATTTAATGCAAAGTACTCACACTATTGCTTTTACTAATTGGGGAATCTAATTAACATTTGAATTTGAAGCTAATTTTTAAGTTACAGAATCCGAAAATGCTGCTGTAGTGACTACACTTCTTTGCTATATATGTAGATTTATATATTTAAAAAAAAAGGTTTTCAGCGAGATGAGAAGCAGTCGGGAAAACTGAATTGCAAAAGTCATGTTAAAAGATGTGACTACAGTTGAGTTAGAGAAATTTTACATATCAGCAATTTTGGCGTTATACTTTGCAATTTTTAATTCACTGTTTAGTCACACTAGAACCACACTGACCTGCAGATTGTACAATGTTACTGCCCTGATTCAATCATTCCATGCAGAACGTAAAGTAGTATTTGCAAGGCCGTGTCGAGTTCTGATACACAGGAAATAACATAAAAACAGTGGGACACTCCTGCAAGCTTGAAAAACCATGGTGAATTTATTTTTTGTGAACATGATATTTTACCTACTTTTCCCCACATATTTCAACTATGATCATTTAGAAATATAAAAAAAAAAAACTAATCTGTTACAAAACAGTAGGAAATGTGTTGTTTTCAACCATATTTAAGAATTAGTATAGTATAAATTATATAGCTCATCTAAGCCACAAGGATCCCAACACAATTTAACTCATAATTACTGGGATTCAGCTTCTGGTACTGTATA